AGACAGAGCCACTCACTTTTGCGCTTGACCTCCATTTCGGGCGCTTCCTCTCCTCAGGTGTGGACTTCGTCACAGTTTGTGTTATGCAGATATAGCAGTGCGCTTTTATCGTCTTTTTTTTTTTTTTACCCCGTCTGCGCTGTGGAAGAGGGTGTGTTCATGATGGCATAATTCAATACGAGCATATAACACGTGCTACCCCATTAGGCGTAGCCCCCCCAGATTTGATCTGACACCCCATGGTTTCGGCTCCGTTTTTCCTTTTTCATAAAAACTTATAGGCAGCGTCAAAACGAGAGCTTTTCTCAGCCCTCCTCAAAAGGTAAACAAAACCTTTCACTCTCTCCAATGGTATAAACTGTGGCGCTCACGCGTAATAAAAATAAAAAATTACAAAATGGGAGAACGGTGTGCTTACACTACAACGTGGCAAACTATACACAGTAATGTGCGCGTCGAAAGTTTAACCTCGCGTGCCACTGCGGCTGCTTTACAATGTGGCAGACGGCGACCATCCCAAAGTTCGTCCGTCGAGAAAAGTGCAGTCATGGATACAAGCATTAGATCTACTTCTACTTTAATAACAACCACGAAACAAAGTTATTGCTTTCTTTTTTTGCCCATTTGTTACCCCTGTGCACGTTTTAAAATTGCATAGGGGTGACAGAATGACTAATTTTATGCGTGAAGAACCTTTTCTACTTGGTCTTCCCCGTAGAGGCACATGGATGGGTATGAGGTGGAAGGCGTTCGGCCGTACGAAAATACACCGTGGATCTGTGACAAGGTGGGCCACAAAAAATACGCGTCAGCTTCGCCCCCTGAACATGTGCTGTTTTTTCCCCACCGGCGTGTTCAACGTCAAGCAAGCAATTTTATCATTCGGAAAAGGAGCAAAATAGTGTTTTGTTTTATCTTCACATGTTTAACTTTTATGGTGAAGCGAACATAAAATAATAATTTGAACGGCGAAGCTTTCTTCAAATGATAAATCAGAAAAAAAAAAAAAAAAAGAAAAGGTATATATTCAATGACGCAGCCTTACGCAGCGCGGTGAGATATGCAAGTCGCGGAGGGGCTTCGCTCCTAAAAATGTGAAAAAAAAAAAAAAAAAAGCAAAAAAGGAGGCGAAACGAAATCGCGGCAATTATTCATAAACGGAAATATATATTTCCACGAATGAACCAATGCTGCAATTCGATTCATACGCGATTACTATTATGCAGCACGGATGTTTGCAGGTCGAGTAAGCAGGGGCAACACGCTGACAGAGGCACATGAATGCAAATAGCACACCCATTCGGTAGAGCCTCCATGGAAGTTTGACTTCTTTTTAATGACGCTTGCCTGAGATAGAAAAATGTTGAAAAAAAAAAAAGGGGCCTTCTACAATTTCTATCGTATTTATATCTGTATTTTTTGGGGGTTCACTTTTACTGTTATTTTTTGTTTTATTTTGTTTCGTTTTGATTTGAATTTATTTGGTTTGACTTGGTTTCATTTGGCATTCATTTGGGATTCATTTGGTTTGATTTGCTTTCATTTGCTTTCATTTGGGATTTATTTGGTTTGATTTGATTTAATTTAATTTGATTCTATTTGATTTATCTAGTTCGTTTTAGTTCTACAGCTTTTTTCATTCTTCATTTCGTCCTTTGACGGCTCTTTTGCCTCGCCCGCCGCTGCTCGATCCCAGGTGCCTCCTCATTCCATTCCAGTTTCTTCGCAGCTAGCGGTTCCCCACTTGTGGTGAAGGTGTATGCTTGAATGGGTAAAGGTGAACGTGCAGGTGAATGTGAATGCGAATGCCCTTTTTCTTCTTTGCTCCTCGAATGACGCGCCGCCACCCACTTCGCATATGCAAATAGGCAAAATTGAAGCAAGCGCAACGGACGAAACGGAGCCCACATCACTTCCTTTGCCTCACTTCCTCCACTTCACTGTAACCGAACTGAATTAATTTTTTTCCCTTTTGGCACCTTTTTAATGTTAACCTAAACGTATGCCACTGAGGCGAAGAATCAGGGACGAATAGAAAGCAACCAAACTGATAACTGCCCCGCCGACGGACCCAAGTGCAAATCGCCAACAGACCAGAGAGACCGTCGAATGGCACACTTCACACCTCCTGGCTGGCCTTATTGCTAGCTGCCCCATTTCTCCCTGGGGCATAGGAGAAACTTCATCCAAATACACGGAACCTGAATCAGGAGAAGGAAGGCACACGAAGAAGCAACTCAAATGCGCAGATAGGAACCAAGGCGGGTAGAACAAGCCCCAAATTATACGCACAGGGAATAACGCTCCATCGTGTCATGGAAACCCACCCCGAGTGCCTAGCTGTGCGCTAACGTCATCTTATATGTATACGCACATGCACCTCTACGTATGAGCGTCGACGTACATTTCGGAGGGGAGACATACACACAAAGTATTGCAGCAGACGCACGAACCATTGCGACAGACTCACGCTGATCCATTTCGGAAGAAGATTTTGCCATCTGTACGAACATCACGAGCGTAACGTGCAGCAAAAACGCAGCACTCGAAAAATGATACCTTATATTAACTTCCCTGAGTTACTGATCGTCCTGCTTTCGTCTTCCATTTGTACTCACCCGAGTTGTATGCGCGTATAGCTGCATTCTGCGCGGAGCGACAGGATAGGATCAGCCTCGAATCGACGCAGAGTCAGATTCGGCCCCCTCCGAGGAAATCCGAAGATCCCTTCGAAGGCATGCATGCAGGCTGCACCCACTTCCGCTGAGGAAGAGAAAAGGCACAGCCCAATTTTTGAAGGCAAAAGAGTTACCTCCCTTAAACTGCGTCCTTTCCCCCCTTTAACTAACCCAAGCTGTGAAGGGAAAAAAATGTCCCCTGCGAATTCAACCAAAATTTTTATTGGCAGCATCCCCAAGGATGTTACAGAGGTGAGTCGAGTCTGCCTCAATTTGTACCCACGCGCAGGATGGAGGCGAAAGAGGCTTCTATGCCACTGTGTCATTGTCCCATTGTGCGAGTCACTGCGGTCATCTTCCACGGTACCTTCATAGTGCATTCGAAAAAAGAAGAATACCTTGTGTTCCATTTGATGCATCGCTACTTTTCCCCCCTTTTTTCCCAGGAGGAGTTAAAAATGGAGGCCTCCAAATATGGCACCATCACCCAAGTGTACTACGTGCCCGCCACGGGCCAGAGCCCGAGGGGATGGGCATTCGTTACCTACAAGCAGAGGTCGGAAGCATACAAAGCCATCGAGGCTTTGGATTATAAGTGCATATTTCCTAACAGCCAGCGACCACTAGATGTCCGATTCGCTAGTTACAAATATAACGCCACGAACGAAACGCAAGCGGCGCCAAATAAAAACATTTGGCAGAAACACTTAACGTCTGATGGGCATCCATATTACTTCAATTCGGTAACTGGCTATTCCCAGTGGGAGAAACCGAAGGAGCCAGTTACTGCGCCCCCCTTAGTTATTCAGGGGAAGACTAACACCGTGGCGTCGTATGGACCTCCTGGCGCCAATGTGTTCGTCTTCCACGTGCCATCTCATTGGACTGATATGGAGTTGTACCAGGTTCGTCAATTGATTCGACCTCGTAGGTGTCGTACCTCACGTGATGTGGCCACACAGAGGGAAAAGTATACCCACCCGATGTGCTACCCCGATCGGTGCCAAAAGAAAGAAAAAAAGGGCGTAACTCTCCCCACAGTTCACACCCACTGTATTTGCTCATATAAACGTCTCACTACCACCCCCTCTGCAGCACTTCCAACACTTCGGCTACGTAGTGAGCGCGCGAATTCAAAGGGACTCCAATGGGAGAAATAAGGGCTACGGGTTTGTTAGCTTTAACAACCCAGAGTCAGCTTTGAATGCCATCAAAGGAATGCATGGATTCTACGTCTCCGGCAAGCACCTAAAAGTGCAGTTAAAAAAGGGAGAGGAACACTATTTGCAGTTAAATGCCCCTGTGCAGCCGCACCTAGCTCCCCCGCAACCCTACACAGTGCAACAGCCCCTCATGGGGCCCCCCCACCAGCCTTACATGACCCCTATGATTTATGGCAGTATGGATTTGACGAACCAGATGCGCTACAACAACACGTATTCGTTGAGTAGGTAGGGGGGGGTTAAGCCTCTTCGACGGGGGATAATACCTCTCCTACGAACACGCACATGTATGACTAGGTATGGCCATATGTAGTCACGTCAAAAGTAGGCGCTCCACCTGTGCGCGCTCCCTTTTAATCTTCCACTGTTTTTCATGTTAAACGAAGGGAACGTTCGGGATCACTCCCTATTTGCACCCCGCCAGAGGGAGGAGCCCCTCTCCTTCCCTATATCCGCCCCATCTTTGTTGCTGCTTTGTCCCTTTTTTCGTTGATTCTCCCCCTTTTCCGCCCGTTCGTTATCCTTTTTTTTTATTTTTTCTCACCCCCTTTGTTTTTCCTTCCCCCCCTCTCTCTACACTGTATGACTTAAGAGTAATTTTTCTTTTTTTTTTTTTTTTAATCTCTTCCCAAATTAACGACACATTAGAAAAGTTTGTTTTTGACAAAAATGGAAATATATTTTTTTGCCACTCCTGTTGTGTGATTAGGAATGTGTGCAGTTTGGGGGTCTTCCTCGCATCCGTCTTGACTGACCCACGTTATATTATGTCTCCATTTTTAACACCTCTCAACAGGAGGAAGTGTGTTCTATCTCATAATTTCGCCTCTCATCATTTAGTTAAAATGATCACCGTGATAAGTGACTTATCTCCGTTGAGTACTCCTTCTTTGGGAGACATACCCTCTGTCGTTCATAAATCAGTTTAGCAAGGCGCACACTGGGAGGGGAGACTCATGACCCGACGATCAGACACCTTTCGAAGGTGAGCTGTGTGGTGTTCCAACGAGCGCCCTTCTGTGGGGGAAAAAATACTCGTAACTGTCTTCACAAAATAAGGAGGCAAAGACGCAGCGTTATGCGGCTTTGTCAAAACGGTGGTTAGGCTGTTACAAAACTGGGCAGAACATATGTATCCCCCCACGTGTGCATGCATTTTTTTTTCTCACCCATGGGGGGATGCAGAAGTGGCAGAGGGGTAGATCCACCGGGGGGGGATGGAGGCGTCGAGCCCATCCACGAGTTTGGAAAAAAAAATACGATGTTGAAAATATACAGTTCAAAATATACGGTTCAAAATGTGCACTGCAAAATGGAAAACAGTTGGCAACTGCGGGGGATGTACTTCTAATATGAGAGACACTCCTCCAATGCCGTCTCATCTGCAGAGCGGGGTTCACCCCGTTGGCCTGCCCCCCTTCCCTTTTAGCCGCCCCGTTTCATCAGCCCAACTGATAAGACTACTCACCCTTTCGAGGAAAAGAAAAGATGTCTTTCGTCACACGGTCCAACTCAACCTCCACTACTTCAGCACCCCATAGTTTTCCAAGGAAGTGTAGAAGCTTCTCGTCAGGACTGCGCGCAGAGGAAGCGATCAGCTGGGGGATCTCCAACACGTTCTCGTTTTGCACCATTGGGGGAAGGCAAAATAGGAGGGGTATAAATCGACATACGGTTTTGCATCCTCGTGGTTGACAATTTTTTGTTTTTTTTTTTTTTCTATCATCATTTTCTCAATGGAGAACACAAACGTCCGTGAATCTCCCCTCGTTGCCTGCCTCGCCAATTTTTTTTTTCCCGTAAAAACCTCTAGAAGTTACACAAATCTCGTGTAGTGGTACCGACGACTGTGAAGTGGGCACGGGTGGCCCCTCCAACTTGATATTCGGAGAGAGTACAAAATATAGGCACCTGTAGGTCTGCAAATATGAGTGAAGACTTAATTAGCCCAACAGAGGGGTAGCCACACAAGCGCCATTTGCCATATTCGCGCCATTCATGTGATTTACCCTATTCACTCCATTCACGTGGGCGCGCGCTGGGAAGAAGGCAACATGGATTACAGAAGCGAACAGCTGGCAGAAAGGGAGAGCTTGTCACTTTTGTACGAATGTACCAATGAATTTATTTGCGTGGACGAACAGAATTTTAAAATCCTAATTGAAAATAAAGCCAAGAAAATCTCCTTCTACTTGCTGTTCCAGCACACGGAACGTTACCCGGACGAAGCCCCCCTATGGAAGATCGTCGAAGGTAGAAGATTGGTGGAGGGAGTATCTACGCCAATTTGTTCTGTTCCCATTTGGAGGAAGACCCGCCTCATGCAACGGACATGTAACACATAGTACAGTGTTTCGTGTCCTTATGCATTTGTGTGCGTCAGTGCTAGGCCTTCCAAGGGGAACCGCCCCTTTTGCCAAAGCTGCTGCGTTTTTAATGTCTATATGTGTATATAAATTTTTTTTTTTCTTTTTTCACCTGTTCAGGCAAAAATCTCACCAACAGACTGCGCGAAAATGTGGAGCAACAAATTCGAGAGACGGTGGAAAATAACTTGGGCTACAGCATGATTTACAACATTGTGGAGAATATAAGAGTAAGACAAGGGGAGGGACAATCCGAATTCTTTCGAGCAATCACACATGTTTTTTCTTTGTGTATCGTATGGTCGCTTTTATCCATTTATCTGTTCTCGGGGTTATTTAAGACGGCACGAAAGTATTCTCCCCACGTTATCTTATCCGACGCGTGCTTTTTTTCCCCCCTTCTCCTTGCCCCTTTTCTTTTACAGTCCTACTTGTCCGAAGACATCGAAGAAAAATCCATGTACGACGAAATGCTGGAGAGGAAACCCAAGGAGGGTGAAGAAATGAACGATGAGGACTCGGATGACAAGATGGGCGCAGACGATTATGAGAACGTTTTGGAGTTGAAAGAACTGTGTGAAGAACGGGTGCGTCTTCGCTTGCTTATCAATACTCACGAGTGTATCCACCTGCACATATGCATGATCGTACATTCCTGTGTTTATATCGCGGCCCCCGTGTGACACCTGCTCGCGCGATGTCTCTTCCACCTCCTCCTCCAGTACCGAGTAACCGAGGACGAATTCGACGCGTGGCGCAAGGAGTTTTACAAAAACATTTTCTCAGAAATAAAAAATACCAACATGTCGGATAACCCCACAGGGCGGGAGCTCTTTGAGAAGGGAAAAATTAACTTGACCGATGCAGAATTTGAGGACGGTAAAAGAAAAAGGAAGTTGGTATCGGTCGATTCCACATTATGCCGCTCATCATCCGTGCACTCCTCACCACGCCGCTCTTCGCTCTTCATTTTCCTTCCCAGGTGACGCGAAATGGTGCAACGAAGAATTATTCTGCGACCTTGACTTGGACGTGTGACCACGAGCATGCGGATATCTTAGCGCACTTCCCCGGGGAGCGAATATACAACACTACCATTCCTACACAGTTACTCTTTTCACGTTGCAATTTGTGCAAATCCCCCCAACGTGACGTGACAGCCCTACCCCTTTTTTGTTCCCACGTGTCCATTCGGATGAGCATCCCTTTTAATAGGCAATTCGACAGGCGCTAGTTTCATTAACACACAGGTTCTTATACTTTATCTCTTTTTCTGCTTCACCTTCTTGAAGCTTCCCTTTTTTGACGAGAATGTTTGTTTCGATCTCCCATTTTTTTTTTTTTTTCCTCGCCGCAGACAACTGCGAACTGGTGAGTACTTCACCCGATGAACATTCCTCTTACGTTATCTTTACGATAAATGTTAGAGGAGTAAACAAAATAAAACTGGATGTTGTTTTATTTTGTTTTATTTGTTCCTATTTTTTCTTATTTTTTCTTATTTTTTCTTATTTTTTCTTATTTTTCTTATTTCATTTTATCCCACCCCGGCGACTGCCCCACTGCGCGCACCTGGCATGAACTGTTCCGATCGCTGCGGGAGGGAGCTAAAAATGAGAAAAAAAAAAAAAAAGATATAGCACTTCGCAACGTAAACTATAATACGCGTGGTACAGCTGCAAACTGCATTTTGGGAGCAGCCACTTATCACCGATGCGCTGACAGCAACGGCCACCCTTTGATCTTAAAACGAATTAAACCAATAAATGACGCTGGGCCATAGGAAGGCGTGTATATTTCTCCTCGTGCAGGTCGCATTTGGGTAGCCCTTCAGCACGAAGTGGTCGCGCAGCAGTAAGCAAAATTGGGCACATTCGTCTAAGCGATGTTGCCGAGAGTCATGTGGCTTGCGACACTTATGATACGCGTCACATGGGACGCAACACATGGTATTGCTTCCTCAGGTATGCATATCATGGTACGCGCTTTTTGCCTTTTTTTGTTACCTCCCTCCCCCGCTGGGCTCTCGCTCCCGGTTCGAATTGAAGGTTACGAGAGGGGGATGCCCATGGGGGGAAGTGCGGCGTGCGCATCAGGGCCAGGCTGGTATACCACCCCCTGTTTCCACACCGTTGCTGAGTTGTTAAATTCCCGCACGCAGGATTTTTAAACCTCATTTCGTTTGTATCACCGTCTAGGTTTACACTTACGCCTACGTTTATGTTTTTTTTTCGTCCCTGTAACTTCTTTTTTTTGTCATTTTTTTTTTGTCTCACCGCGTCTCCCTTGCAAAGGATGGGGAACACGCTATACAGCAGCACAGGGTGCAGCACCACCCAGTTGGACGATATTTACGCCAAGTATTTAAATAACCTCTACAACATTTATAGTTACTTGTTTAAGTACGAGCATTTCGTTTTTATGAATTGCTATGCGTTGAATTCCTTTTGCCATGTTTTGGAGGTAGGTCTCCCCGTAGTCGAAGCGTTCCGCGCGTTTGTCCAAGCGACCCGGACGTGAATCGCTACCAACGTGTAATGTAACCGAGGTGCCACGTCACCCACCTCTCGCACCATACACCTGTCGCACCATACACCTGCCGCCCTACCCACCTGCTGCACTCCCCACTCATGCAGGGCATCAACAACAACGAGGGGCACGTGCTCATAAAAGTGTTCAAGCTGAGAGGCGAAACGCAGAAAATAAAAAGAATCCTGTACACGCTGAAGTTTCTCTTCTCCTTTGACCTCTTCCCAAATGTGTAAGCGTCTCGAGAGAGGGAGCACGCGGAGGAGGGGCCCAAGTGGCTTCGTCTTCCACTGCTTCTGTGCCGTTTTGCCGCCACTCCGCTATGCCGCTATTCCTCTATGTCGCCATTCCGCTATGCCGCCATTCCCCTATGCCGCTGTTCCCCCCCTAGGCTGCCCTACAACCGAATGAGTGTGTACGAAAACAACATTTACATCTACAGAACGTTTGTGTTTAAGAGTCTCGATCACTACCTCTTCAACGAGAGGAAGAAGAAGCCCTTCAGCCACTTCTTCTTGTTTCAGATTTTTCTTGCGATTATCCAGCTGCACTCGCTTGGTATTTACCATGGCCATATAAAGAGCGAAAACTTTCTCCTGCAGAACAACATGCACATCCTCATAACGGACATAAACATATTGAACAAATATCTGTACTTCATTCCAGGTGTTGGGTATGTGTCTGACTTCACCTAGAAGAGGTGACTCACTTGAGCACTGCAGTGTCCATACGTCTCTGCACGCTGCGTTTACTGCCTCTATACATGCCGCTTCTGGTGCCTCCCTTCCTCCTACACAGGTGCGAAGACAAGTGGAGCGGCCTACTGCAGCGCCTGCAGAGGCTTCAGGACGATGTCTTCAACCTCGGGATCCTGCTCCTTGAAATTATGCTCTGCGATAAAAGTGTCTCGTACGCATTCCTGAAAGAAAACTATCATGACAGGAACGAGTGCAACTTCTATCGGGGTAGAAGTAAACAAGGCATGTTCCAATTTGTAGGAAGTGCAAACGGGGAAGAGAAAACCGTCGGAAAAGGCCAAACCAGTGCTAAGGTCAAAAGAAAGAAAAAAAAAGAAGATAGACACTGTCGCTTTCCCAGCAATGGCAGCGTGGAAAGTGCGGATCGAATAATGGACCTATCGACAAAGAAGACGAGCCACAACTTCGTGCACGCCCTCTCCCTACCCTTTATAAATAAGAGGATAAAAAACGAGGAGGAGAGTTATTTTCAAGAAAACAAGCACGTCAAGATGAATATAGACAAATATAGACATTACAATTACCACTACATTAATAGCGTCAATTATATTAACATCTACAACGACTTCTACAACAATGGGACGTTGCATCCTGTGAGTGAAAACAACTCGCAGAGGGAAAGCCTCACTGATGGAGGCAACCTCGAGAATGAGGTTCTTTATAGGAGTAGGACTGCTCTATACCGGCGAGGGGATGTGGCCGATTCGTTGGGGACATCTCCCCATGCATACAGTGCTTACGAGGTGCTCGGGGGAGAGACCAAGGGAGGGAGGAGGAACAGGGCCACGTACAGCGGACTCGATTTCCACGTGCCGCGAGAGTGGAGCTCCAGTAGCTGCGGCAGCTCAGGCAGTTTCAGCAGCTTCGAGGAGGCGGCAGATCCGGAGGTGAAGCAGTCCCCAATTGGCGCTGCGAAGGGTGGCGGGGGAGAGATTGGCTTGGGAGACATTGACGCTGCAAAGGGCTCCGGGGGACAAAGGGAACGAGCGCCGCCCCCTCGCAGACGCGGCAAACAGACGGAGAAAAGAGAGAAGGGAGTACCCTACAAAATCTGGAAAATTGTTAACGTAGTAAAGCACCCATTCATCGTCTACTCCCTGATCAATCACTTCTTCCTACAGAAGAGAAATAACATTTTTAAAATATTCCAATATTGGTCCTATTATGTCTTCCCGAGTACTTACAAATATGTGTTTTTTCCTTTGACGATTTTGCATCTGCACCCGGTGTTTAAGAATGCCGACTTCTTTATCCTGCTGCTTCATTTTAACTTGCCGTTCATTTTGTTTCACCTGGATTTATTTGCACGAAAGGAACGGGACAAATATGATATGCTAAAGATGGGGGGCAGGGAAAATAGGGAAGACGCAAAGAGTACGTGTAGGATTAATCAGCGGAGGTGCCACGCACGTGATGGAGGTGGCAGTTCGGAGGACACACACCCGTCGTTAAGGTGTACACAGGGAACAAAAGAGCCACCTCAGCAAACGGTGCAGCAGACGGTGCGGCGGAGGCAACGACAGGGGCCGTACGCGGGTCGCCTCGCCCACTTCGTGGACGTGGTAGGGGAGTTCACCACGGGCGTTAACAAGCGGCAGATGGAGGCCTACATCAGGGACAGTGATTTGGGAGACCTCGTGAAGATGCAGCTGCTGCAGCAATGGCGCGCGAACAGGCGAGAGGCCAAGGGGAGAAGAGGCCGAACCAGGGGAGAGTACAACTCGTCGTGCCACTTCCCGTTTCCCACCCTATCGTATCAGAACGCCCACCAATTTTACAGAAACTTCTTGGTCTTCTACAAGACGATCTTTAATGCAATTTTTCACCAACAGCAGAGCTACATTGATATATTTAGCAGCTTGGAAATCTGCAAGAGGGGCATTTACGCGCCCCTCTTTCGAGCAGCCTATATCAGGCGAGGTCCTCACCACCGGGGCAACAATCCAAGGAGGCGGAACAATCCCTGCAGGTGGAACAATACAAACAAGCTGAAGCATCCCAATGGTTTCCGCCCCCCGAAGTGGAGCTTCAACGAAGACATACTCCAACTAGCAAACATGATAATCGTCTCGTACTGCTCCCTTGCATACGAGTCCACCAAACTGCTTTGCCTCGAAATGCTCTACTGCATAATTTCCCACCTCAACGACAGTACCCTGAACAGAGAACTGGCCTCTTTCCTACTTTTTTGTATGAACAAATCAGGTGAAAAATTAAAAGTTATAGTCATCAAATGTTTTTACAAAATTATGCACAATGAAAATGCTTACGAACATATGTACTCCTACGTGGAAAAATTCTTGCCGTCCTTTTTCTCGCTCAAGGACAGTAAAGAAAAAATGGAGAAATATTTTTATGTGAAATATTTACCGCTAATCGCCAATGTGACCGTTCAGTATATATATAATGCTAGTCTATTGAAGAAGGGAGGGAGAAACCAGAAACAAATTTTAAAGGGGGAGCAGGATGGTCAGAAAAAAACGGGCCCTGATGAGGTCACCATCTCGGAAGTAAAACACATGGACATGTTAAAAACACTTCGCAACCAGCTAGTGCACATTTTAAAATACGCCACCGACGAAACTATCCTGTTTGAGTTTTACGAGCACCTAATTACCTTCTGCAAAATCATGAGCAAAAAATGGGTCAAGATTTACATCCTCCCTTATTTACTAGCAAATATTTACAAGACGAAGAATAGCTTTATCCGAGCTCTGGCCATTCGGATCACGCTGCGAATTATGTCCTACATTAATGACAGTGAAACGTACAAAATGATTTGTAGCTATGTGAACCCAATTCTCTTCGAAGGAAACGAATTGGCCATTCTTTTTTTGCTTTCGGAGTGTAACATCCTCCTGCAGAGGAATGCGCGCACGGGGGGGCGCTCCACTGCGGTTCCACCGAGTGGTTACCAAAGCGAAAGAATCGGAAGGAGCGAAATGAACCAACGGGGCGAAAGGGAAAAACCGGGCAAAAGGAACCAACAGGGCAAAAGGAACCAACAGGGCAAAAGGAACCAACAGGGCAAAAGGAACCAACAGGGCAAAAGGAACCAACAGGGCAAAAGAAACGAACGGGGCAGAAGAAACGAACGGGGCAGAAGAAACGAACGGGGCAGAAGAAACAAAAGGCGCATACTCTTCTTGCACAAACTTAAACTAAACCACCTCCGCAACCACCCCTCTGTAGCCATTCGCGATTTGGTACACACAATCCAGGGCAATCTGCTCCAAATGGCCACTTAACGCGCGAAGGAGAAAAAAAAATAAAAAAATTAAATAAAGTAAAAAAATAAAATAAAACGCTCATGTGTGGATCGATCTTTCCGCATAGACGCATATGTGCAGCTGCAAACCGTTCCGCCGATTTTTTTTTCGTGGCGCCGCATTGCTTAGCTAGCACAGCGTGGAGTGATGCTTTTTCCACGTTATCCATTTTGGCGCACTGCAATTCGTACGGCCATTCGCATTGCCATTAGCATTGCCGTTCGTAGTGCTCACCGAGGCGCTGTCTCCATTTGCATTTGTCTACCACCTCTCATTCCCCCCGAATCCGTTTGCAACACATAAGCACATTTGTAAAAAGGGAATTTTTTCTTTTTTTCCAAACCGCCTCACATATGGGGTGACCCCATTTCTATATCTCAGCATCTGCGAGACGGGGAACATATTCACTGTGCTGTGCACCAAGCACGTTTTAAGTTCTCAAACCAACTTGGCAAGTTTGTTCTCCTCTACGGGGTGGTGTAAGTATTATACACACACCAGCACATATATCTACGGCGGTTGATGGGTGGTCTTTTTTTTTTTTTTTTTTTTCATTTCGTTGAGAGTGACCGGGAAGAGCAGCGAAAAAGCGAAAGTTACCAAAATGGAAAAGGTGGCGAACGTTAGAGAAGTTCCTAGAATGGTCAACGCTCACGAGATATAGCCACTCGACGTCTCCTAACCGTGTTGAGTGTGCCATAACGGTACCGTTACACTTTTTTTTTTTTTTTTTGCATGCGCAGTGATATAACCCCTTTGAAGAAAATTCTCCCAACCACTTTGACAAAGATTTTTAAAATGTGGAAAAAAAAGAAAAAGAAAAAGGCAAAACAAACAAATACATTGTTACACTTTTTTAAACACCGCGCGGTGAACCTCAATGTTTGCAAATGTAGAAACATTTTAACGAATTTTTCTTTTTTTTTTTGTAACTGTTTCTTTTGTGTGTTGTAAATCTGTGCTGAAACAAGTACACTCTATGTATATTTACATAGCTTTAACAACACACCTCATTTTTTCACTTGTTCAACTAATGTCAGCATTTGTAGATTCAAAACACGCAAGCAGTTTTGCGCGAGCGATTACATTCTCCTCTTGTGCGCAGAATATACGAAAATGAGTTTACAAACTAGTTAATCAGTGTTCTTTTTCTTGCATGACTACGTGTGTGTGGGTATCCATGTGTGTAGTTTGATCTGACGTGCGCTTTGCGGAGTTCCCAACAGTTCTCAGCGTTATGGCGTTGGTGGTCGGCACTCCTCCAGATCGTAAACGTGTGTGTATATCTCTATCTACATATATGGATATATTTATGTACACCCCCCTGCTTGCACACACGCGTACAGACATACCGGGGAGTGCAGTGCGCTCACAGATGCGTGCACTTTTTTCACCCCGCGCATTTGATTACGTAAAAATCTGCGAAGTGACAAGCGGATTAAGTAATGAACTGTCATGTGTAAACAATAACAAAATTCTTTATGTGACACTCTCCTGTGGAGAAGAATAGTAGAAACATTCCTATGTTAGGAGAAAAACTTATATAAAGGTGGTCAGTACAACATAGTTTGTTCTACTCTCCCTTGGATGTTGTTTTTGCCAAACAAACGTGCACCCATTGTAAACTTGTGTTGATTGTCACTTTTTTGCGTTTTATTTTTTTCATTTTTTTCATTTTTTTTATTTTATTATTTTGTTATCTTATTATTTTATTATTATTTTTTTTTATTAAGAAAAATTTGCATTACTTGCCAGCAATTTTTCTGTTTCTTACTCTGCTTTGCCACCTCACTTAACGTTACAACACGTGTGTTCGTTCGTACGTTTGTTCTATTTACACATATTTGTACCTATGTCAATAATCAGAACGTACACACCTGCGTGAAGACTTTTAAGTGAACAATTTTTTCCGTTGCGTACTCTTCTTTGAAATGTACCTCTGACTAGGCGGAAAGAAAGAAGAAAAATAAATAAATAGAATAGAACAAAATAAAATAGAATAAAATAAGATAGAATAAAACAAAGCACAATAAGATAAGATAAAATAAAAAATTTCCATCCTACGCAGCGTTAAAAACAGAGAAATATTCTTGCCTGGTCAGGCAAATTTTGACACAATTTTTTAATTTTTTTTTGTTGTTTTTCTCCACCTTTACGTTAACTCTCCCATTTTGTAACCCTCCTATCGCTGCGAAAAATGGAGGTACTGCAAGACATGCAACGACTGGACAGGCGGATTATGGAGATCAGAAATCTGCGAAAATTGATTGACGAGAAGCTAGACATTGACCTTAACGGAGATGTGGGAAGTTACCTGAACGCTCTAGCCAATTTTCACCTTTTGGAAAAAAAAAAAAAAAATTCCAAATTGGTGGTAAGCTCCGAGGAACTCAGAAGCTGCGGCAACAAAAAGGGCCGAAGGAAATCGAGAAACAGCATCTCGTCGAATATGGGCGAGCGAGGAAGGAAAAACGAAAATAGGAATAGCAACTCGAACGGAAACGGCGGGAGTCGCGATGGGGGCCGCGCCGGAGGAAGCGCAGGAAGCGGCGGGTACAGCGGAGGAAACGGCGACGATCGTGATAATCGTGACAATCGCGATGATCGTGACAGCGATGACGAGGAAAAGGGAACCCCCCAAAGTGACGACGACCAGGACAATGACAAACCCAAGAAGGCCAAGAACAAAAAAGAAGGTCAGGAATCCGAAGAGGAGAAAGAGCGAGGAGGAGAAGCAGCAGTCGAAGGGGCAAGCCAATTAACCGAAGAAACGTACGACTATGCGGGCGAAGTGACTCAAAGAAAGAAGCTCGAGCAGTTGAAGTTGTCAGGGGGCATGCAGCTGATCGTGACCCCCGAAATGGTCAATGCACAGATGAGTACAGAAGAGGCACAGGAAAAAATAGCAAACACTGATGAGGACAACGACATAATTAACATGATTAACGACAACGCGTCGTCCATTCGGGAATCCAGCTTTGAAGATTCGCACATCAAGGCCTGCCTGTTAGAAAATAACTTGGGGGTTCCCAGGATATCACCAGAGGAGGCTCAAAAGATCGGGAAGAAAATCGTGAGCAACCCGTATACGGCCACCAGTTGTGAGGCAGAAACGGATGAGCAGTACGCACGGGGAGACACCCTTGGGGAGAGCGGCATTCGGGAGGGCGGTATTGGGGTGAATGGCATCGAGGAGGGCGATATTGAGGAGAGTGGTATTGAGGAGAGCGGCACAATGCAAAAAGGGGGAGAGGACCTTCCAGGTTCCCAACTCAGGCGCTACAAGACCGAGGCCATCAACAAGTGCATCCAAAGGCAGCAGACGAAGATAAAGCTAAACAACGTGTTGACCGAGCTCAGGTTTAAAAGCACACACCAAATTGAGTACCCCAAGGGAGAAGACTCGGAAGAGCAGAGCCTATCCGGAAGAGACATGAACGATGGTTTGAACTGTATGAAGACGCAAGAGAAAAACTCTCACACGAATGATCAGCAACAAGGAAGCTTCAACGACGCCAATGGACAAGACTACACCGACTTTGTTAAACACTATGCAACACGCGCTGGAAACTTCTACAGAGATGTGGCGAAACCAAAAGTTGAAAAAATGATGAATTCACAGTCGCAATCGTTTGCACTAAAAAATCCGTATAGGAATGGAGCAGATTTATCGAACCTCTATGACAGTTACGAATTTCACAGATCATTGTCTACCTCTATGCAAAATGGAGACACGAAGAGAGAAGCAGACGATTGTAACTTAACTAATTACCTGACCTGTTCAGGCGATAAGCAGATAAATAAATACTTCGAAGAGAACATGAACTGCTTGACTAATCCATTGGCCGAAATGAAAAAGTACATTCCTACCCATTTGGGCTATTACGAGAAATTTAATTACTCCAAGGCGCTGGACACGATTAGGAACTACGACTGCACGAATGCCAAGGAGTATGTCCAAAATTATGACTGTGTGCAGGGCGCGCGCGCGTTTGTGGAGGAGAACATCTGCGGGGGGGGCGTGGCACGGGTGACGGAGCACGTCAATTTGGAAAACATGAGAAAGCACGTCAGTCTAGAGAACGTACGAAAGCATGTCAATTTGGAGAACGTACGAAAGCATGTCAATTTGGAGAACGTACGAAAGCACGTCAATCTAGAGAACGTACGAAAGCATGTCAATTTGGAGAGCGTACGAAAGCACGTCAATCTAGAGAACGTACGAAAGCATGTCAATCTGGAAAATGTGAAGAAGCACGTCAACCTGGCGGGCTTGGCCAATCGCATCAACATAAGAAGCATCACGGAGCACATCAACGTGGAGCACCTGAAACAGCGCCTAAGAGCAGAGGGACTCCTGAATGCACAGTGCTTCGGTGCGAATTACAACATCCTCGGAGAGGAATACAAGAACTATGTTAATAAGTACATCGAGGAGGTGAAGAAATCTCTTCATGAACAGAAGGAACACTACACACAAGGCGCCAACTGCAATGCACACCTGATGAATAATAAGTTTGTCAAACTAGCTGCAAAGAACATTTGTAATTTGGGAAACGTTTACCCCAGAGGTAAAGGCAAATTTCACTGGAACAATCATAAGAGGTACATTGTCTTCAATCATAGGAGGTATGTCAGGTTGTTTGATGCATGCTACAAAAAGAGGGTCCAGTCGGTGAAGAAAAAAATCAAGGTGAATAAGGAATTTTTTGACCACTACTTTAAAGCGTGCACAATTGATTTTAATAATGACAAGGACATGGAGTCAAATGATGTGTCCAGAAGTGCTGCCTCCCTCTTTGACTATGGCAACATCGAGATCAATTCGCTCGAACAAGGCAGTTCTCTAAACCTATCGGACATGCGTCTTCCGTCGGTATTTAACACTTCCGGTTCTGCGTCCAACCTGCAGAGGGCAAATAGTAATGGTGACTCCGAAATGGTGGGAAGTTTGCAGGGCAACTCGAAGGAAGGGGAAAAGAGATCCAACGGAGACACGGGGGAAGATGCATACGGTGATGCTTCCGCTGATGCATATAGTGATACTTACGATTACGCCAACGTGGACGATGAGGAAGTAAACATCCCCTGCTTCCCACAGAGGGGACAGAGACTGAGGCATTTAAAGGGAGTCCTCCCAGACAGTGGAGGAATCGAAAGCGACATCATTTACGATCAGCAGAAAAATATCTTCTTCGACTTTAACGACAATGCTTATGTGCACGTTAAGGGGAACTTATATTTCAACGTCAAGGATAGATTATTTTACGAAATTGAGTACCCCGATGATTTCTCCTACGAAAATGTCAGGAAGGGGCTGCTCCAATTCGGCCACTTCCTCGTCACGGAGAAGTATGCGCCCTGCAAACTTATCATGCGACTCTGCACCCGGTTTAATGCGTTCATGTACAACTTCCTCCGTGTCCACAAGTACAACGTTTTTTACGCGGACAGGGAGAACATCGTAGAGATCATCATCAAGTGAGGGAGTGGAAACCCGATTGGAAGCGTCGTTGGAGACGTCATTGGAGGCGTTGTTGGAGGCATCGTTGGAGCCGCGATTGAAAGCGCGACTGTGTTTGCCTCAGTGCGTCTTCCCCACGTATTTTTTTTTTATTTTTGTTTTTTTACTTTCCCCGAGCGCCTCCCTACAAACGAACCGCGCTCACCCCACGTGTTTTTTTTTTTGTTCTTTTATTTACTTCCCCTGAGCGTTTCCTAAACGTTTACCTCGCCCTTCTGCACGTGGGCGATCCATATGTCTTTGTTTCCCCTTTGTGAGGGTTAAAAAAAAGAAGAAAAAAATTCCAACCCATTTTGTCTGTACTTTCTTAAAAAAAAGAAAAAATTGTAATAACACATTTCAAATTTTGTAACCCATTTGGCTAGTTCAACATAATGTGACCCCTTTTTTGAGTGCTTAAAAAAGGAAAGCGCTACCCATTTGATGGGCTATACTTGGACGTGATTTCTCCCTGCGGGGGGTGACACGGAAAACCTTACGTGTTCCGTTATGTTGTGGCAATCCAGGCCACGCGAAGGGCGGCCGAGTCGCAATGGAGAGCCTAGCTGCGCCAACCCGCTTACGCAAAAAAAGGAAAAAAAAAAAATTACGACACTGCTTTCAGCGCGTAGGGTGGAGGCAGACATAGCTACACGTATGCGCACCTGTGTAACTATATCTTCCCCCTTACAACTCGCCCAGAAAAATCGTCTTGTCTGACGAGCAGGACGCCACAATCTCCTCATAGGGGTGAAACGCAACGTCGTTTATGGTGCTCGTATGACCGGGCAAGGTGTACTTTAGCATCTTCTGCTTGTAGTCATAAATGTAGAGATGGTTGTCTCCGCTTCCACAGGCAAGCAAGCTGTCGTTATTGAAAGACAGTTTTATCAAATTGTAATCGATGTTAAACCTCGGTGCTGGCAGATGGAATAATAGTTTCTCGTCACAGGGGAAGGGCTGAATGTCCCAAAAGCAGATCGTCTCGTCTGCACTGAGGGATGCCAAGACCGTCTCTTCGTCGTTTATAGCTAGGCCGCTTATGTAATGCTTGTGCCCTGTAAAGGTGTCTTCTAACTCTCCACTGCTAACGCCATATTTGCTTATTTTATCGTCCACAGAGGAGACGTAGAGAGATTCCCCCTTCTTGTCTGAGCAGATAGCTAAAAATGGATAGTCATAGCTGATCGTGTGAACCCACTTTTTGCATCTAAAATCCCAAACTTTTACAGTGGAATCATCACTACAGGTGGCAAACAAATTGTAATTAATCACATCCAAGCTGTTAACGATGCTTGTGTGTCCCTTAAAACTTCTCACTTTGACTTCATTTTCTATGTCCCATAGGAAGGCATTGAAATCTGCCGATGCGCTGCATATGTGTGTGTCGTCTCGGCACCACTTGGCTTGCAACACTGCGTTTTTATGTCCCCTTAAAACGCTCAGCGTTTCGCACTCGTTGTATACACTGTGCACCATTATCGTCATGTCGAAGCTGGAAGACGCGATGAACTTCCCGTCGGATGAGAAGTTCACTGAGTACACTTCCCCCTTGTGGCTGCTTATCAGCATATTGGGGAAATACAGCCCCGTTTTTCTTTCTCCTCCTCCTGGTCCGGGGGCCGCTCCTAGGCCCGCTTCTCCTCCTTCCCTTTCCTCGGCGACCAGTCCGTGCGGCTTCGCCTGCACGATTTCCATGTTGTGGGGGAGCGGCAGGGGAGCGGCAGGGGAGCGGCAGGGGAGCGGCAGGGGAGCTGCAGGGGAGCTGCAGGGGAGCTGCAGGGGAGCGGTGGGAAAACGACACGTTGTTGACTTGAAGTGGTGGTTCCCCCTCCCCTATGCTCAAAATGGCCTGTTTTAGTTCCCCTCGAAATGTCCTGTTACTTCCCCTCGAAATGTCCTGTTACTTTCCCTCGAAATGTCCTGTTACTTTCCCTCGAAATGTCCTGTTACTTCCCCTCGAAATGTCCTGTTACTTCCCCTCGAAATGTCCTGTTACCTCCCCTCGAAATCTCATACTACTTCTTCATTCCTTCGGGCCACCTCATTCTACGCGCGTGGTGCG